GCTAGGAGCTAAACCAAACGACCCTAGGATCTGGGACTCCCTCCTAAGTAAGTTCCATAATAAACTGAATGGTTGGGGAAGTAAGCTCTTGTCTTCCGGTGCGAGACTGGTGCTTTGTAAAGCAGTTCTCTCGAGTATGCCGACATATTTGTTCTCATTGTTCAAGGCCCCAGCGTCGATCATCAAGGATATGGAGAAGGTCCAAAAGAGGTTTCTGTGGAATGTTTCGGTGGAGAATAAGAAAATGGCGTTAGTGGATTGGGAAAGTTGTAAGGGAGAGAAGAAGAAGGGCGGTCTCGGTATCCATGATTTAAAGGCTTTCAACGACGTGATGCTTTCGAAATGGCTGTGGAGATATGCTGTTGAAAGAGATAGTTGGTGGAGGCAGTTAATCGCAATCAAATACCAACATCCTGTTTCGGTTTGGCAGACAGAGAGATTGAACCATGGGTTTTCTCAATCGGTATGGGCAAACATTTCAAAAGAGTATGACTGGTTCTGGAACTTCGCCACTGTGGAGCCTGGTAATGGATCGTCGATTTCTTTCTGGCATGACTGCTGGATTTCGAGGATGATTCTGTCCAAGTCGTTCCCCCGTGTTGCTGCCGCTGCCACCGACCCCGAAGCAATGATATCCGATGTTGTATCCCTTAACAACTCTGATCAGGTGAGTTGGTGTCTTCCTTTGAGATTCAATTTAAGGGGGAGTGCCGAGAGAGAGAGAGAATTGAATTAATGGAATATCTGGGTAACATTAGTCTTACTAATAATCTCTACAGCCCATGTAGAGTTGTTTGCAATGCTGACCCTAATGGCAGGTTTTCGGTGAGAGCCCTTTACAAGAATATTGTGGAAGACAGGTTTCAAAGAAATCAAACATTCCCTCACAAGCAAATCTGGAAGTCAATCATTCCAAGCAAAATTTGTTTTTTCTTGTGGCTGGTGTACCAAAACAGAATTCTTACTGTTGACAACCTGAAGAAAAGAGGATGGTCGATGGCGAACAGATGTAGCCTCTGTCGCAGCGAAGAGGAGACGGTTGCTCATCTGCTCAAGGATTGCGATTTCATCGAGGTTTGGCAAGTTATAAATCGACACAAGAATATCATGAATCTGCAAGGAAGTGATATCCCATCAATCATCAAGCATCACACAATCAGTAAACTGGATAGCGTGGAAGAGTGGTTCAAGAACTGTATATTACATTCAGTTTGGTGGCTTGTGTGGAAGGAAAGAAACTCAAGGGTGTTCGAAGGCAAGGATTCGACAACATACATTGTAGCAAAAAGAGCTGCTAGAAATGTAATGGAATGGATTGCAGCACACGGAAAGATCGATAACAATCAGGGAGAGAGCTGGTTCAGAGAATTGATGGAAAGGAACTGATTTTGAAGGTGATCCTGGCAAATTTGGTGGGCAGTTCAGAACGAGATTGGATCTGGGTATGTTTTTGGGTACGTTGATCCTGGCGTTCCTCGTTCCCGTTGCTATTGGGGATCGTTTCTTTGTTTTGAGACTGTTCTGAGCTTTCAGTTCAGTTTGCTTTCGTCCCTTGTTCTGGGACTTTCGGGGCAGGGGCGGTTCGGCCCGCCTTCCTCCTTTTGTTTTTCTTTTCTTCTTCCCCGCTTCTGGTTTTTCTCTGTTGGGTTCAATTCTGTTGACCCTTCTCTGTACAGGTCCATGACTCTTTTTGATTTCCCTTTTCTGGTTATAAATCTCATCACCATTATAAAAAAAAAAATTCTGATAAAAGGTCCCGAATGCGCATGAGGTGATATGTAAGTTGGGCTGAATATTTTAATAATGCAAGTCAATATGAAATAACAATGTAAGTTAGATAAATAACTCAAATAGTTTTAAGGGCACATGTTTGAACTTTTTATGGGGAGTTTCTCCACAAAGTTGAAAGGTCGGTTGAGTATGATGAACTTCACCAATAAAATCTGTGAACGTTACTACCGAAGAAAGTTTAGAGTCTAATATGAAAATTGGTTAAGGTAATAGCACGCGTGGGAATTCCCTTTTATGTAAGAAGTAGAATATATGATTGCGTAAGTTTAAAGGTCAACACTATCTAATAGTTAGATAAAGATATTGATGTAGAAATTATGTAAAAAAAAAATTTGATTGAAGAAGATCCATAGGTCAGGTCGTAATAATTAGTTTACTGTGCCTCACATTCCAGCCTAGCACATTCGATCCTGTGGGGAAAGACAATGAATATGGAAGTAAAAGGTGTTGTACATGTTTAAGTAGAATGTGTTCTAGGAAAAGGTGACCGGAAAATTCTATGAAATAAAATGGAGAGGGATTTTATGTGGCTCTCTACTTCGTCCATATGGGTGGTAATTGGTAAATAGCCCGGACCTTGTGCTATCGTGATTAGTTCATGACCCATGCATTCTGATATCATGATTATTAATGGTAAATAGTCTACCTACCCTCATAATAACAGTGATTATCATACACGTTGTGTTCTTCAACTAACGGTTAAATTATTAATCACGATACCAAGTGTTCCATGTAATGCAAAGAGACTTCGGGGTCGTTTGCTTCAAGGATTTGCATCATGGATTTGGTATAAAAAAACCAACCATTATGGATTTACACACAATCCGTTGTTTGCTTTGTCAAAAAATGTTTAGATAAATCTGTTGGCCCCACGGATTTGGGTTTTTTTCTCCTCCAAATCCATGGGCCCCACGATTTTATAAATCCCACCTCATACCCTGGGATTTGGAGACAAGCTGAAAAACCATCAAATTCATGATAAACATAGCTCAACAAACAAAGGATTTTCTCAAATTCATAATGCCCAAAATCCCTAATAAATCCCAAGGTTTTTAATTAACAAATCCATGACAAAATCCTCGTTATAAAATCCTTGAAGCAATAGTCCTTCCCATATATAACCAACATGATATTTCAAGAGTTTCTCTTGGCTCCTTCCCCCTTCATTTTCATCCACACCATTCAAAATCTCAACAATCCCCCACATGAATGGAGGATGCAATAGTTTTGAAAACTATGCAAAAACTGTGTGACTCAACTACGAACTAGTTGCACCGGGATAGGTGGGTTTCTCTTTGAACCTTCCCTAGTGAACATATTCGAGTACATTCACTAATCGGTAGATATGATATCTTTGAACTGTCAGTTTTTTCTTCTATATATACTAAACAACATATGTCACACAACTAACTCTTATCCGCTCACTAGTTCTCATTGCTGTGTTCGTTTTAGCCATGAACACCGCCTGGTTTTATAAGTGCTTAGAGAATTGGCCTTATTTTATTCTCCTTGAAGTGACTCTACCTCACACTCACATAGGTAATTTCTAAACGTGGAAGGTGGGTGCAAATGGGAAGGAGAGGAGAGGGGAAGTGAGTGATGAGTACGAGTTTTGGTTCTTATTAGTGGAAGGTGGGCCCAGAATAGTGGAAATGTGGGACAATTTAGTTTTTATATTTTAAATATTTTTTGTTTTACACCCACTTTATACAAACCCATACCTTTATCCCAAACAATAATTTACACTTCCTTAAATGTACTCCTTCTAAAATTTAGAACTTAATTTGTAACACATCGTTGCCAAACAAAGAGTAAACACTCTTATTTCTTTTTCTGCTTTTTGCATTGTCTTTCCACCTTCATCTGTCAGTTTCCTACCCTTCCGTGAGATTTTCCTTCTACCTTTCTTTGTGAGATGGATGTTTCCAGCTACATACACTTTTTTTTGGTCCTTAAGGTGTGTTTTGAGATTTTATCAATGGAAAAAGGGGGCATGGGTCTCTGATTGGTAGCTTATCTTCTCACCATCTAACCTCTCAACTATCTCCCGACTTTATTCATCATGTCAATGTTTCGGAGATGCAAAGGTCTCCTCACATGCAGCGACCTGGATACTGATTTTTTTTTAATGATGGAGTCAGGGATGCATCTTCTTCAAGCTCGCCTCTCTTCTTTATTCATGTGAGAAGCCGTTTCTCTAGTCTTTGTGGTCCTTCTGGTTGTGCATATCTTTCATTTTGGCTTTGGATTCATTGCATGGTGATCTGCTGGTCGGCGGATTGGATTTCTCGGTGGCTCTAGTCTTTTGGCCAGTGGCTCAGGATGGAGAAGAGAAGACAGCTTGGGTTGATGTTTTCATTGAGTATTATAGAAAAATGTGAGTTATCTTTGTGAACCTGTTCTAATTGGGCTTCACTTTCCGATTCATCTGATTTTTTTGTAATGAACTTTTCTTTTACTAGTGCAGTATCTTTTCATGTGCCTTTTGACCCTAACCTTTGTTTCACTATTAAAGTGAAATGCATGCAACTTTCTTGTAAAAACGAAAAAGGTTGTAACAAGATTAATTATTCTATCTTTTCACGCAAAATTCTCATCTTACATATTAACCTAGGGGTAGGTGACACAACTCTATTCTTTTTTGTCATAGCCCATAGGTATCTTCAAAGGAGAACCTCAGCACCGTTTATATTCGAAAATATATTCGATTTTTGCAAGTCAAGTTACATCATAAAAAAAAAATATTGATTGACAAGTGTACGAACTAACCATGAACCAACTTGTTTTGCCACAATATGGCTAGTCCTATTACACCGGTGTAAATTGAAACATAACCCATTTGGGACCCTATTCTATTCACCTCTTTGGGCTTCTATTGAATCGAGAAATGGGCTTGATAGTTGTTCATCCCTCGTTGTAATAATATCTCGGAGGTTTGCAGCAGCGAGAACTTGGTTTGAAACAACCATCGTAGCACCTGAATGATCACACAACTCTACCGTTGGCTGAATTATAAATATATTCATTCATGAATGACTCTGCCAGCCAGCCAGCCCAGTAATCCCATTTCACGAATTGATTACCATCAGTTACCATTGAACTCTACAACTTTCCCCGTCCATTTCAAGCAGAAAACGAATAGAATCAAGAAACAATCACCCCCACAACTTTCCGTCCTTTCAAGTTCCAGAATCCTCTCTGTCTCTGCTATGGCCTGTCTTCCCAAGCGCCACCATGGCATCACACTGGCCATTGTAGCAGCAACGCTACTACTTGGCGCCGCGTCAGGATTCCGCTACACCGTCGGCGACTCAATCTGGTCCATCCCGCCCACCTCCGACTTCTACTCCCGCTGGTCCTCCGCCCACGCCTTCTACGTCGGAGACTCTCTCGGTAGCCAACATATATACCAGATTACCAGTTGATCATCCACTATCATTTCCTTAATCACAGTTGTCTCCATTGCAGTAATTCCATTTCTCTTGTCATTGGCCGGATTTCCCAGCTTTCCAGTTTGCTACGGAGTTGTTCAACGTGGTACAAGTGCTGAGGCACGACTTCGAGAGCTGCATCGCCAACGCTCCCTTGCAGGTCTTCACCATCGGTCCTGCCGTCGTCGAGCTATCTCACGCGGGCGTTTTCTACTACATTTGCAACGTGTCCAATTACTGTGATCTCGGCCTCAGACTCGCCGTCGTCGTACACCAGAGGCCGCCCGCCGCTCCACCACTAATTATACCATCATCCCCTGCTTCCCCGCCAAGATTCTCACCGCCTCCGCCGCCGCCTGTTCCGCCTCATGCGCCCATTTCTCAGCCATCCCCATATCCAGGACTAGCGCCAGAACCAGCTGGGGACGTAGAGAACAACAGCTCGCTATCTCCAGCACCTGGAGACGAGATTACCAGTAATTACTCAAATGGAGCCGACAGGATGGGAGATCGGCATGTAATCGGGTTGTTGTTGGTTGGAATCTTGATTATGTAAGTCAATGTTTGTAGGCGAGTTACTACGACGACGTTCAGATTTCGGAGCAATTTTCGTATTGCGTTCCCAGTTTCTCTGTTTCTGTCTCTGCTTTCAGTTATCCGATTTGTGAAAGACTTTTTCCATGGATAGGAATGATTGATCTCAATCTGAATGACCAATTTAAGTACAGACAAGGAACCTATAGAATTTCAGTCTTCAGAAGCCACCACGACCGAATCCTAAATAGTACCATTTTTAGGTGGGGGAAGAGTGGAGTATTATCTCGAATGCAGTTTCAATACAAGAAATCAACTTGTTGGTGTCTACAATGCCTTTCTCTGCTCCCACAGTTACTCTCAGGTTCCCCATATAGCTCACCACTGATGCTCCAAGACTCTGCCAAACAACCAAAAAGGGCTCGTCAATGTAAACACCATTTCTAATGAGAAAATGTATCAGAAAATACCTGAGGCTTGCCTGTCACAAAAAAGTACATCCCTTTCACGGGCTGCTTCGCGACGGAGACCTTCTCCATGGGGCCAATCACATTGGAAATCACCAAGCTCGCGCTCCTGATCGTCCTCGATACGTACCCTGCTGCCGCCTGTCAACAGTCGTGACGCTCAACTTACAGGATCCGGAAACACAAATTAAGCCAAAAGTAGTCTGCTGCAGTTCTTACCTCTGGACCCCTGGTTTTCCTGATGAGGTCCAGGGTTTTACCAGTGAGGTAGACCGCCAGCGAGTTGCGCCTCTTCAGGATGATTCTCCTGGCCTTTCTGATGAACTGAAGCGGATCTTGATCTTGGTTCCCCTGCAGCTTGGGAATGGGAACGTGCAAGAAAGCGAAGCGGTTCCCCCAGGTGGAATTCCTGTCAGGTTTTGCCATCTCCTGAATCGATGTGTAACCTCCCACCATCCTGGTGTTCAACAGCACCAATGCCGTGGCACTTGCGTCCCCTGATCCTGCTTCCATCTCTTCCATGTACAGCCGAGCTCCTAGGAAGATTACTCCTGTAATCACATCGTTTATCGTCTGCCGAATATCGAACAGCAACACAAGGTGTAAAAATAGCAGGGGAGAAACAGGGGGTTACTTCAATCGCACGAATTAGGGTTTTCTTGCTCTTACCGCTCCGATCCTGGACTTGATTTCCCTGATCTGATCAAGGGAGAACGCGGTTCCGGCTATGGAAACGGGCCGAAACTCCGTGGCCACCTGGGAGCTCCCAGATCGAAGCGGCGAGACGTCGTCCTCGACCAGGGTGCTCATGATCAAGCTGAAACAGAAATCCGACATTTTATTACAGGCGGCAGAGAAAACTTTGCCTGCTCTCTTCACCCCCAGGACGGCGCCGTTCATTAGTACATCGATGCAGCCGGCGACGCTGTTGTCCTTGGCGTCCAGGGAGCAGAGAGCTGGGAAAGTCAGGGGAAGAGAAGGGTCGTCGGCTCGCTCAAGGCAAGAGAGAAGGGCGCCCATGAGGGAGTAGCCGTCGCCGAGCGCGTGGTGGAGCTTGAAAACTATGCTGCCGGCGGCGGTGACTGTTGGGTACTTGACGATGTGGATCTCCCATAGCGGCTGGCTCGACGGCAGCTCCTCCGCCGATAGCTCGGAGAGGTAGTCGGCCAAACATTCGTCGTAAAATTCAGGGGATTCTCCTCCTGGGAATATTGGAGTGTGGATGTGCTTCCTCAAGTTCACTTCCACTCCCTTCCATTGCTTTTCTCCGTTTGGACCCGTGACCTACAAAATATAACATGTTCATTAAATGAGGTCGCACACATTACATGTTCATTGCACTTAGGCATAAAATGATAATTTCACTAAACATTTGCAATCTAATCAAGTTTCTCGATTCATTTTTTCAGCAAATTATACGAAGTCTTCAGAATCAAATATAATGGCCGATACAACCTGCAATGGATTCTCTGAAAGAATCTAAGAAGATCACTACATTACCATAATGGAGGAGAAACGAGGGTTGATTGGGAGGAACACGGATTTGATCAACAAAGCGGCTTGAGAATCATCGAAAGGCATTTCGGTTTCAAGAACAGCGACAATGTGGAGGGACAATATTGAGCTGTTCAAGTAGAGCCCGTTAGGGCTCACAGCCTCTGCCTTGAGCTCTATCATTTCTCTGAATCATAATGATCCCAATTGAAAGTTTCGTACTTTAAAGCACTATGGCAGTTGGTTAAATTTTATGTTGCTACCAAAAAATAAAAATGACGTGCAAGTAGAAGTGGCTTTACTTGGTTTAGTTTGTACCAAGCCACATGGCCGAGTGACGGGTGCTAAAACTGCCTTAACTTTTAGGTAAAATTACATGGCATGACCAAATCTTAGCCAACTTTTAGGTAAAGTGACAGTGGCATGACCAAATCTTAGCCACTCTCTTAAATGATGATGATGAAGAAATAATAACAATTGAGAGAGATTTCTATGGCTGCTAGACGAAATATCCGAATCAATGTACTCCCTACATTTGACGCTGACAATAACAATTTACTGAGACGGTAGCTTAGTCAGACACCAAAACATAATGTGTATGGATCAAGGAAGTAGGGTGGTAATCGGTTCAGTGCCGTTAATCACTAACCGATATGACGGTTAGTAGTTAACCAATAAGCAAAAAAATTCATAGCAATAATCAAACCGATAAATTTTATTGATTAACCATATTTATCGTTTTGATCAGCAGTTAATTTGGTGGTTAACCATATTTTATCATTTTGATTAGCGGTTAATTTGGTGGTTAACCAATAACTAATAACATACATTCCAACAACTACGAATATACATAATCAAAGCATATATATGGATGGTTTCCTTATATAATTTGCTTTATTGCAGTCGGCTATTGATCAATCTAAAATGGACAAACTTGTTGTCTTTCAAGTGCCAAAGACTAATCCACCTTTGTTTGTGATTGTTAATTAATTGAGTATTAGAACTAATATGATATGATAATTGGATTATCTAAGAGAAGGTTTCAACTGCTTAGTTTGAGTTCTCTATCTTATTTACAGGCCAATATTCTTTGGGCCGTTTAGACTTTGGAAGACCACGTCCACCAGGGTAGAAAATTTTCTAAATGCTTCTAAAATTTTGGAGGAACAATGCATTTTGGAGCTAGATTGGCGAGGGACTTTCTTAATGCTTAGTTGCTCATAGTCATAGATCAATGCTTTAATTCTATCTTTCTATTCTTCTTTTAGTAGGCACAATAACCAAGGCGGCTCCATATTGCTCCATCTACATATCCTTAAACCTATTGCATTCTCAATGAATCTAATTTTTTTAATTTGTCTAATGTCACTATAAAATTAATAAGCATTAGGGACAACAAATTATCTGCTTTCTGCTCCAGGAAGTATTTGCTTTATGGGAGGTTTAGTTGAAAACATCTGCTTTGTACTCCAGGCAGTATTTGGAGGCTGTTTGGGAACTCTGAGTTTCAGTTTATCTTTCAGGATGATATAAATTTATCACAGAGACCGATTTGTTATAATCATGCCCTAAGGTAACCTAGCTAACGCCCTCTCTCTATCGTTAGCAGGTAAATCATTCTTCAATAACTTTTACTCCTTTTAACGTCAGTTCTTGTCTATTACATCTTGCTGCTTGTTCATTATTTGCGAAGGTCTAGCTACGTACCCACTATTTTAGCAGGTAAACTATTCCTTAAGCTCTAGGTAGCCTTAAAAAGTGGTGTTACGAGTTGTGACAGTTGTGGAATGGACCACCTATTGCATAATGAGTGGATCTAATTCTCAGTTTCAATTACTAAGTTGATGAAATATTGTCTTGTTTAATTGGGTCAGGCTATTGAATATTCACTGCCTAGAAGAATGCTGGAGGAATCATTTTCAAATCTTTCCCTGTACAGGAAGACAAAAAAGTCTTATCTGATTATTTATTTTTATAGATTTTCCTTATTGTAATATTTCATATTATCTTATGCTGTATACACTTTTGTATTATTGAAATTTACAAGAGAATGGATTTTCCATGTTGTGTTGTGAACTATGTGAATAATATGTAATTTGTATTCCTTATGGAGTTAATTAATTTTTATACTTATATGATATAGGTTCTCTGTTATTCAAAAGATAGTTCTTTGGGTTCAACTTTTTGTCTCGAACACATTGCATTAAGGATGACAAACTGTCTTTAAATATAGTTCTTAGCAAGGCTTAATGTCCCAAAAATACTTCATATGGACGACTTGTCGTCTCTGTAAATACTTCATAGGGGACCACTTGTCGTCTCTAGAAAAACTGCATAGGGGACGACATTTTGTCTTAAACTGATACATAAAGGACAATAAATTGATTCGGATTTTTTAATCCTTGGAGATGAATTTCACTTTTTGTTCCCAAAAGAATAGAAGACGGAACCTATAGGCACCACCCATGAGGACGACATTTGTCGTTTCCAAAAAATTTGGAGAGGAAAAGTCCATGTTTTGGTGATGACATTTTCCGTCTGCTAAACTTATTAACTTTGTAGTGGATCATCATCCACAAACATCATAGAAATAAAGACTACAAGGGAGTAATGTTCGCTCTGTCGATTGCAAGGGGAGTCAGAGAGGATAACATTTGGGTTCCGACTTTTAAACACATTTAAGACTTTGGGTGGAGGGTTGTTTGCAATAAGTGGAAATTGAGATGTCTAGAATTGCGCCTTTGGTTGGTTTTGAATCTTGATGTTTTTTTCCCTTAGCCAAAGACCAAATCTATGTGGTTAGACTAGTACGCGGTTATCAGTTTTCTTATCGTTTAACTAATCGATTTGCGGTTAACCACTAAGAAATTAGTGACTATCGGTTAATCATTAATCACCATTATCGGTTTGGTTATCGGTTAAAATCGATAAGCGACTAACCATTTACCACTTTCTTGAAGGAAGTGGAGTATGACATTTCGGAGGAATATCAAGCTTACGACCACCTATTTCGTCATTATGGATTCAATCCACATCACTCTGCACTATCAACGGAGAATAACAACGAATGAGTCGATGGATGGACTTATTCGGAGCTTGATTGGCAAAAAATTAAATGGATCCTAGCTACGCCTAGCTCAAATGCATAAAAGAACACTTCATGGTAGGTAGCTCATGTCTGGCGTCAAACATAATGACGTTAATTAAAAGTGCTACCGTGGAGACAACCTCGATTTCTCTTGTTTCTTTTATTTTCCACTTTCTTTTAAAATTCTGAGTTACCCTTTCGAGAACGCTTATGATCAATTTTATCATTTGGATAGGTGAAATATTTCGATGGATTATTTGAGAATTATGATGAACTAGAGGACTTTATATGGAGATTAAGGTATAAAAAATTTACTTTCAAACCCACCCGGTAAGTGAAATCATATGAAAATGCAGAAAACTGACAAAAACTAGCCTAACTATCACGGTGGCCACCTGGAGGTCCAATTGCGTCACTCCGACTTTTAAAAGACCAAGTTTATGGCCCCCTCCTTCAATTCAAATATTACTCTCTCTAAACTCGTCCCCTCCATTTCTTCATCTTCTCAAAATTTCTCCTATACATTTTCTATCTTTCACTCACTCAATCCATCTCCAAAACTCAAAATTAAACCCTCAAACTTTGAATACTACGTACCCATCCATTAACCAACAAAGTCCAGCAAAAAATTTCCAAGATAAGCAAGCAATACCTCACGTCGGTGATCATTGCCGTCTTGATGCCACAACTCCCCTTGTACTTTTCTTCAAATTCTTATGCTACATTTGAGTTTGATTCAATCCAATTAAGTATCTTTGATCTTTAGATGATATTAGGGGATTGAACGCAGATTATTGAGCTTCAATTGAACACAGATCAGTATTGAGCGTTCGGTTTCTTCTTGCTCTTCTTATTCTTTCTCCATGGGTATCAGTTTGAGTTTGGATACATATTGAAGTGATCGAGCAGTTGATATTGCGACCAGATTCTTCGTGAACAGCGTACACAATTTTTTTAAGGAATAGTGAATTCAATTTTTGGTAATTTTTGTGAACTTGTAGTTTAATAATTCTAATAATTAGGAGATTGAACACTTACTATTGAGCTTCAATTGATAATTCTATGATAATATTGCATTGCTTGTTAATCTTCTTATTTTGACAATGCAATTTTAAGCTCTGTATAGCACAGTTGAATGCTTTATGAATTGTTGATGATAACTATTATGTGATGATATGGATGCTTGCTCATTTTGATATATTATAAATTTGACGGATTGATGAACTTTAGCAATGTTCATTGCCAATAGTGAAAGATTTTCATTCGAGAGTATGCATGGCAGATCGAGGAGACATAGTACACATAGCCAATAGGAAGCTGACATCCGAAATTAAGGACATGGCTGACGATTCAGAGGATGAAAAGCTCGAGGTTAATGATCCACCAGTGGTGCATCTTCATCGGTTACTTCAGGTTCCACCAGGCACAAAGAAGAGGAAGATTGAAAAGTGGTAAGGAGCTCAAGTGGAGACCCACAAGTGGTGCATTTTCATCGCAAAAAATGTGTTTTATAACTAATAAGTGCACTAATTACCATAATTAAACAAAAATTTGATTGAGCATAGTTTATTTATAAATTTAAAACCTAAATATAATTATTTCATAATTATATAATTAATAAGCATAATGAACTAATTACTCTTAAACATTATTCTATTATAGATTTACTCACTAAAAATAATTTATTTCTAAATTCTATAATCAATAAGAGTAATAAAATAATTATCCCAATTAAAATTAATTGTTTTCCAAATTTAAACCATAAACACAATTCAATTAGTTCATTACGCTTAATTATTACAGTTAATAATAATAATATAAATATACAAAAAGTGTATCACGCGGGAAAAAAAAAGATAGATCTATATAATGCTAGGTTGAAAAAATTTTAGTAGCCGAAATCGGGCGGGGACGAAGAAATCGTTCGACGAGGATCTAGATGGGCCAAAGATTTTCGACGACTCTTTATGAGTTTTCGGGCCCGCCAGATTTGGCCGTTCTTTTTTTTTTTCCTGGCCCAATAATCTGTCACATCTTATACTATTGTTTTCTAGTGAGTTTTCGGCCAAACATCAACTTTTAGATTTTTTTGGAA